ATCTACTCTGTCCAAAAAGCATCCTAATTCTATTCTATGTCACTATTCTTTCTCCCTCACACTTCTGCCTCATATCGTTCTACCGAACCCCTTTTATTCCCTTTGGTTCTTCCTTTATGTGTTACATTGGAAGAGTGGCAACTTGAAATGCTACACTTCTGTACAACTTTCTGTGTTTAAACCAGTCAGTCAGTCAGTAAGTTGTGGATTATAGATTAAATGGCTCGAACTTAGTCCATTTGCACAATCACTACTTAAATAACAGTTTACAGTTTACAATTTATTTAGGATAGTAGGCTATACGCCTGTGTTAATCCTTTCGATTTGTTTCACACAGGAGGTTCAATCTCGCCTTGAATGAATCAACGGATGGCGCTGATACGACGCGTTCCGGTAGGGAGTTCCAATGGTTCACAATTCGATGCGAAAAACGAATCTCCAGACGCAGCCGATTCGACCGTCGTTTTTGAACCTTGAGGTGATGTCCTCGCAATTGGTTGGTGCTAGAAGGAAGAAACAAATTAGATAAATTTGCTCCAAAATCATTTCTTAGGATACGGTATGCTAGTATTAGGTCACCCCTAAGTCGTCTGTATGACAGTGGAAATAAACCCAGTCGACTTAACCTCTCTTCATATGAGAGGGTTGAGAAACCCTTTATTAGCTTAGTTCCTACTCTTTGCACCCTTTCTAATAAGTCTATTTCGTATTTGAAACACGGGCTCGCTGCACGGATCCCATATTCCAAATGAGGTCTGATATAAGTCGGATATAATATACGAAATATATCAGCGTCAAAGTTCGCAAAAGCTTTGCGTGTGGTCCATAATATTCGAAAACCCTTAGTGGCTGCAGCTCTACAGTTTGTTGCTGTTCTCAAGTCACGCTGCACAACCACTCCCAAGTCCTTGTACTCAGTGACCACTGGGAGAGTAATGCCATTCATTGAGTAATTGTGCACGTGACTATGAGATACATGCATAACTACACTCTTGCTTAAGTTAATCTCCAAGGCCCAGTGCTTACACCAATCACTTAACAAGTTTAAATCTTCCTGCAAAGCAAGTTGATCACTGTCATCGTGTAAAGCCCTCCATATCTTGATGTCATCAGCAAACAGTAAGCAGGATGACTTAACTACTGATGGAATCTCATTAACATAAATCAGGAGAAGAAGTGGGCCTAGAATTGTACCCTGAGGAACGCCACTCTTAACCGATTCCCATATTGATAAAACCCCGTTAACTCGTACTCTTTGTCTTCTGTCCTTTAGAAAGTCTTGAATCCAGTCAGCGACCACTTTGTTGATTCCCAGACTACCTAACTTTACTAGAAGACCTGAATGAGAAACCCTGTCAAACGCCTTTCTAAGGTCGATGAATATGGCATCCACCGGTATATTAGCATCAGCTGAGCTTGCCCAACTTTCTCTGGCTGAAAGAAGGTTGGTCAAGCAAGAATGACCTGCTTGCTCTAAAACCATGCTGTTCCACAGCGAAAAGTTTGTTCCCTTCAATGAACTGAATGATAGCATCACGAATTATTCTTTCTAGTAGTTTAACAACAATACTGGTCAAACTAACAGGACGATAATTCTGAACTAAGTTTCTAGATCCAGTTTTGAAGACCGGACTAATGATGGCATCTTTCCAGTCAGTCTCTTGGACATTTAGACTGGTCCAGAGACATATTGAAGATTACCGACAATGGCTTGGCTCGTCTATGTTTTCAGCCAATGCTGTTAATAAACGTGGGTGGAGTTCATCAAGGCCACTGGACTTACCAGGATTAAGCCTTAGAAGCCACTTTAGGACAGTATCCTTTCCAATGTATAAGGGTGCCATTTTCAAGTTGTGCATCTAACTCTTAGTGTCTATCACCATCATCAACATTATCAAGTATTGTAGATAGTCGTATAATCATCACCTGTTTTTCTCCCTTTTTTTCTAATCAATAAATAAACCTTTTCTTCATGTTAATTAGGATAATATTTGTAAAAATCATAATAATAATAATAATAATAAAAGATTTAACTGTTAAAATATGCATGCATGAACACCATTCATATATGCGCGTGCATAGAAGTGCGTGTATAGAAGGGCAATTGCCTGCGTCTGTATACACACTATCTTGCCTAGTTGAATAGTTAGTTTAAAGCAATTAACCAATAATAGAAATGATCATCATCAGTAATGACTCATCGTCAGCTGAGATAATGAGTGTAATCATTACTATTATTATTATTATTACGCATGGTAATTGTCTTCTAATCAATTTATGCCTCCTTTTGTATGACTAACTATCTGTCATTCATTTATTCGAAAAGAAAAATTTAGATTTCCTTGTTGTGTAGTAATCCACTGTTGAAGGTTGACTTTAATAAGCAATCTGACATAATGAGAAACAGTAATGACAGACGAAATACATGTGCTTGCGTGTGTATGTGTGGGTGTGCGCGCATGTATACTGACTGAATCCTCTCAGTCAAGTTTACAATACTGTCACCTCAATATGTAACTAGCTTTGTATGAAGATTTCATCGCTGTTAGTATCTTCCGGTAAAGCGTATCTACGAAGTTGTAGGGAATTAACGTGCTCTCAGGAACTGAAAATCCATGGCACCTAAGGTGCTTGTGTCAGAGACCTTCTGTATTATTATTATTGTTGTTTCCTTTAATTCCCAGAGGAACATAGGGCTTCAGCCGTGAGTTTCCATTGCGTTCGGTTCTCTGCTAGAGTCTTCACCTGGCTCCTAGTCTGCCCACATGGTTTCATCTCCTCTTCACATGACCTCCTCTATGTCACATTCTCACTGACGACCAACCCGCCGCTTCCCTTTCGGGTTCCATTTGAGAGCTTGTCTAGTGATATCACTTGATGGTTTCCTCAGAGTATGGCCAGCCAATCCATCTCCATTTCTTCCTGCCTATTTGTTTCATAAACGGTTCCTGGTTGGTTCGCTCATTGCCAGAGATCCCTGTTGCTGATCTTCTCTGGCCGGCCATCTGATCTTGAGTATTGAGCAAAGACAGCTAGCTGTTGATGAAGGTCTGTAGTTTGTTTGAGATGCTCTTAATGACGCACTGGCCAAGTCTCTGATCCGTATAGTAAGTGGCACTGACTTCACATTGGAGTTGAAAATCCAGATCTTATTTTTTATGCTGAGTGCTGTTGACCTCCACACACACTTGAGAGTAGTGAAAGCTTGTCTTGCTTTCCCGATCCTCGCTGCTTTGATATCCTCGTCAGTTCCATCCGCCTGTAGTTGAAACGATGCTTCCCAGGTCGGTGGGTAAAGGAGGTTGCTTCTGTAAGATTGAGTTAAGTGCGATGACGAGTCATTAGGGTGTACTTGGTTTCATATGCTCAGTTCTTGATACTGCTTGAATTTTATTCAGTTTTTATGTAGCTTTTATGCATTTTTGTTCTCATAAATATATGCTTTTCATAACCAAAAATGCCTCTTTCATGTGATTGGCCCACTGAAGGACGTTCGCTGATTGGTTGTTAGTGGTGCTTAAAGTTTTAACTTTGCCCAAATATCCGTTCAAGCAGCTTATCCATCAAAAAGATGCAGTTACATACAGTAAAGTGAGATGAGTAATTTAAGTGCTAAGAACGACACCTTTTTATCATATTCCCTAATAAACTGCATTGATATCAATTGAAACAATAAGGTAAGTAGTGAAAGGTGATTGACGTCATTATACAAGGATAAAGGACACACTGGATACAGAACTCCGACCAGAACAAGCTGGATTCACGAAAGGCAAATCATGTTCTGACCAAATTGCAACTCTACGCAATCAAACATCTACCTCAACTTTATAGACTTTGAGAAGGCCTTCGATAGACAGCGTTGACCGCGAAGTAATTTGGAAACTACTCGAGTACTACGGCGTACCCAAAATATTTATCAACCTTATTCAACAGCTGTACGACAACGGCACATGTCAAGTGATCCACAACGGAAAACTCAGCGAGGCGTTTGGAGTAATCACAGGAGTCAGACAAGGGTGCTTATTATCACCAATGATATTGATTCCTAATTGTGGTGGACTGGATTATGCGTCAGACAGTGGGAAACGAGGAGACAGGGAGATCCTGGACCGAAGTGAACCCAGAACCTAGAAGACCTGAATTTCGCGCGTGGATGATTTATGTTTGATGTCACACAAAATCGAAGATTTACAAGCGAAAACCGACAAACTGGTAGAAGAAGCAACCAGAGAAGACAGGACTCCAGGTGAATATAGAAAATAACCAACCAACAATAACAACAGCAGCAGCAGCAACATCCAGCACCAATCACCATCAACGGGAGGGATTTGAAAGAGGTTACTTCATTCACTTATCTAGGGAGCGTTTTCTAAACTACAGGAGGAAAGGCGAAAAACACATTCATCAACCTGAAACCAATCTGGAAATCTTCATCACTCAGCCTGCATCAACAACAAAATGATTCGGATTTTCAATACAAACGTCAAGTCAGTCAGTTCTTCTATACGAATCAGAAACTTGGCGGGTCACAAAGAATATTCCCAACAGCCTGTTGCAGACCTTTATCAACAATTGTCATCGCTCAACAAGTATGCAGGAGAAAGTGGAGATGGATTGGACACTCGTTGAGGAGGCCACTGGGTGACATCGCGCGTCAGGCCATAGCTCGAGTGGAACCCGAAAGGGAAGCGGCGAGTGGGACGTCGGTGGAAGGGTGACATGGAGGTGATCGTGTGAAGAGGAGTTGAAACAGTATGGACTAACATGGACGCAGGTGAAAAGTACAGGAGAAGACAGAAGCAAGTGGAGACGTACAGATGAAGCCCTATGTTCCAATAGAAACCCAAGGGAACAATAATAATATAATAATAATAATAATACGAGGATTTCCCATTCTATGCTCAATCACTCAGTGATTCCCTTCACACATATTTGACACATCTGAAGTCTGAAGTATGAATGATAAATATGCTTTTCTTTTCGCTTCATTTGCTGAACAGATCGAGTGAATAATAATAATCCACGGACGTATCATTCTCAATCGGGACATTCAAATCAATCCGGTATACAGAATTACTCTGATTCAGATAAACAAATGAAGGTACTGAGCGCTGATCATGCTAAATCTGCACTGACAAACAGTACAAAATTAGAGTAAGCTATTTTTTTTAAAAGAAAGGGCTTTTATGTTATGCGAGTGTGTGTCCGTGTGCTTGCGTGTGCGTATGATGAGGTTTTAGTTATTAAAAGAGGATTTATTTTAAAGGTTTTATTCCTCTCCTCTTCTCGAATGGAATATGGGACTTCAAACTTGAGCTGTGATGTTTTTTGTTTTGCAAGGTGGGGTTACCAGCCTCATACGCAAACGTGCCTCTTCACCTGCCTTACTACCACCGGCTAAGAGAGGTTTAGGAGTGCGTCTGCCCATGGTCGAACCCAGGACCAAGTGAGGCGTGGTTGGCAAGTATTCCACGAGAAGTAACTTTCATCGTTTAATTTTGAAGTATCTTGTGATCTCCGTCAGTCGTAAATATTGAACTCACCGTGTCGTTATGAATGTGGAATATGGTTAAAAATGTCATTGACCATTTTATCGCCATTCACTTTGTAGTCGTCGTGGTAAGTAGATAGTTAGGGGTTAGTGGGTAAAAATTTACGACCCATCAGGTTTAATAATAATAGTAGCTTTATTCTGAACAATGTTTGCATAATTATTTAATTCAATTTTGGACTTTCCCGTCGATTGATTGGACCGAAGTGTTCGGTCTCAGGTTAACATGTCGGCTTCTCGTGCAGTTGTTTCGACGATGTCTCGGACATGTAATTAGAAGTTAATTGGTGGATGGTGCCTAGCAGTGGAATCCAGGCTAATGCGCATTCCGTCCTATTTGGGATTCGTCAGCTGGATGTGTCTGCGTTCCGCAGTGAGTGATGATTTTCCCACCGAGGCTCGAACGCAGTGTCCATAGTTTCAAACACCAAAGCATTATCCACTAGACCATTCGGGCCACGAGATCCACCACCTCTTTTGAAACGGGTCATATTAGTTATTTAATCTGCACAAGAAGCCGAAACCGAGCACTTCGGTCTAATCAATCGACGGGAAAATCTAAAATTGAATTAAATAATTAAAATGACCCGTTGCACAAGAGTTGGTTGCTTTCGTGACCCAAATGGTTTAGTATATAACGCTTTGGCGTTTGAAACTATGGGCACTGTGTTCGAGCCTAGGTGGGAACATCATCACTCACTGCGGAACGCAGGTACATCCAGATGACGAGTCCCGAATACGACGAAATGCGCGTTATCCTGGATTCCACTGCTAGTCACCATCCAGCGATTAATTTCTAATGTTTATATAATGCACAGAGTTTTCACCGGAGTTCACTACATACTAGTTTTTCTCCGTCTACAGTAGATATTGTGACACATCCATCGAGAATAATGCTTGTTTTGTCTCATGTTTAGTTGGAACTTGGGAAACCACAGTTTGTAAATCTTTTAAATACTCGCCAAAGTAAACAATACTAATAGAGGTTATACTTTACTAGATTTAAACAAACTAAATCCGAGAAATTATGTGCAATATGCATCGATGGAGGTTTCTCAGTAGCCCAAGTTTTAAGCAGGCAGCCAATTTACATGCTCTCTAGCACGGTTTATTTGAGACCTTAAATGAACAGATGTCCTCATACATATTCGTCTTTATGTTATCCAGCTGTACTGGTCACTAGTCATATTTCTAACTGTAAAACTCAGTGGCGTGGGTTTGACTCCCGCTCACCAGATACACTGGATGATTAAATATGCTGAGTTATATAGAAGGATTGAAGTATTCGTTTATCTATCAATGGACGACTGTACTTCACGACGTTCCTTTTCGCCCATCTTTACATCTGTGAGATATACCCGTTAAGGATGGAAGATTAAAGGGGCTAGCCGACTCTCACCATAGTCAATTGGGTTCAATTTCTCGTGATTTAAAATTGTCGGGAATATTGAGGTTAGACGTAGAGTTGCACACGAGGAGGAGGCGAAAATCAATCGATTAGGTTGTGAAGCTGCATTTATTGAGATGCCTAAGACATAATTAAGGAATACAAAACCGCTCCCCCTGAGTTCATCATAACTGTAAAATATAATTATTTTAAGATTGTACGCAATCGTCAGACAAAAATTAGCCAAAATTAGGAGTAATAATAAATTATTTTTGTACACGCCTGGTTTGGAGAGGGGGGCTTGACTTTATGAATGGTTGTTGCCTCAGAGTATTTAAGGAGCGCATATAAAAATACGCACAGGCGATAGATATCCATAAAATTAGGGGTATAATGTACGTCGGTGGAACAGCAGTAGAATGCTCGCCAACCACGCCTCACGTCATCAGGGGTTTGATCCCCGGCCGCCAACGCACTCCTTTGCCTCTCTAAGCCAGTAATAAGTCTGGTAAAGAGGAAAGGTTGGGGGAGGGGCATGAAGCTAGCAACCCCATCCGGTAAAAATAAGTACCACCACTACCGAAACTTCAAAGCTCTAACATCCTCTATTAGGTAGGATGAGTTAATCATTCAGTATCCTTGTTACTGTTCAGTAATGTCACTGATGTCAACTTCACATATAACATGACCATTCTATCTAAGGGGACGGAATTCAATAGCCTGTCAATCCGAACTTCTATCAGTTAGCTATTTCAGCAGTTATTATTGTCGTTACTATGCATGATAGAGAAATAGGGAGAAAAAGATGCTAGAAGGAGGGTGAAATTCAGCATTTCTACATTAAAACCTTAATGATGATCTGTTTAGGTTGATTGGATATACATCTCCACATGTTAAGAGGTGTATACACACTACATTCAGAGGAGAATAACTGAACTACTAGTATGTCACTTTGTTCATCTGTCACCAGGCTAATCATATTGATACATCCACATAGATCACAAATTGCCATTTGAATAATTTCGATTTCTAAAGGCGACTGTGAAAAGGCCTTCGACAGCGTCGATCGAGAGGTGATTTGGCTACTACTTTGCTACTATGGGGTGCCGCCAACAATCATACATCTCATCCAACAGTTGTATGACAATGCTGCACGCTAAGTAATCCACAACAGGAAACTCACTGAATCCTTCGAAGTTAAGATGGGAGTAAGACAAGTCTGGCTGGCTGCCGACTATCTCCAATGATTTTTATGGTTGCGGTACACTGGATAATGCGACAAACAGTGGGCGACTGGGAGACAGGCATAAAATGGACCCACACAAAACACTTAGAGGATCTAGACTTCGCCGATGATATATGTCTGGAAGATATGCAAGCGAAAAGCAACAAGCTGGCAGAAGAAGCATCAAACATAGGACTTCCTTCAGGTGAACATAAAGAAAACAGAGGTGATGAAGATTCCTGGCCAACACCACCACCGACAACAACAACAGACAACAATCAGCCAGCATAAATGGGAGGAACCTGAAAGAAACAACCTCCTTTACTTACCTACCTACCTGGGAAGCATCGTTTCAAATACAGGCGGAACTGACGAGGATATCAATGCGAGAATCAGGAAAGCAAGTCAAACTTTCATTTCCCTCAAGGCTGTGTGGAGATCAACACTCAGCAATCATGATGAAAAATGAGGTCCGGATTTTCAACTCCAATGTGAAGTCAGTCAGTGTCACTATACGAATCAGAGACTTGGCGCCGCGCCACATCATGAAGGCCACTTCGAACAAACTGCACACCTTCATCAACAGCTAGCTGTCTTCGCTCAATACTACTCAAGATCAGACGGCCATCCAGAAAACATCAGCAACAGGAAGTGATCTCTGTCAATGAACGAGCCAATCCAGCAGGAACCAATTGTGCAACAAATATGCAGGAAGAAATGGAGTTGGATTGGCCATACTCTGAGAAAACAAACCATCATCAAGTGAGTGACATCACACGCCAGGTGATTGTTCGAGTGGAACCTGAATGGAAGGCGGTGAGTTGGTTATCAGTGCGACGGTGACATGGAGGAGGATATGAAAGCACGTGGGGAGATGTGGAGCCAGGTGATGAAGACGTTGGTGGAAAACCGAACGCAACGGAGACGTGCGGCTGAAGCACTTTGTTCCTCTAGGAACTAAAGGAAACAATAATAATAATGAAGAAAACTGTGGTGGGATTTCACCTCCTCGAACTGTGTAAATTACAAATTAATTATCAAGTTGAAAAGTTGATTTTAGGGATTACCGGTTCACCAAAGTAGCTAGTTAGAATTCAGAGAGAGGTAAGAATCAATGATGAGCTCGACACTAAGTCAGCGAAGTGTCCAGTTGTCCCGTGGTCTAGCTGACTTCAAACTGGTTAGAAAACACTAATGGTTGTTATGAGTGGCATACAACTACCTTTATCCAACAAGCAGAAGTATATAGTTTAACACATTTACACTTGCATTCTTGATAACCATTTATGTTATCGAGGAAATCAATTATTGTGATCCGAATAATTTGGTTTCCCAAGAAAATTACGATGAAATTTCACCTCCTCGAACTGTATAATTTGGTAATTGCGGATTGGATTTAAGATGTTACCAGTTTTCCCAAGTGGTTACACAAAAATCGAGTGGTTTCATGTGATTCGGCTCTTTCGGCTGAGTCAAATGGAGTGCATGTTATGATCTAAGTCGCCAGCTGATGCGAACTCTTCGCCAAGTTGTTATGAACCAATTCTCTAATTAATATGAACACTTCAACAGTTAATATGACCGAGTGGATTCATGCGTGTGGGCATAATAATACTGACGCAATAGACAACTCAACTAATATACTGAATACGCTTATTCATCCTTAGGACCTCCCATCCGGCTGAGTCACGTGACTATCTAAAGACAAAGATTGGCCCTATGACTGTTAGAGTACAACTTTATTACGAAAGAAAGGGCGTCATTCTTATATATTTTTAACCGTATTAAGATTTACCCTGGGCAGTTGAAAATAGATTTTTCTGATTGGTAAAGGATTCGTCTAGGTCAACGAAAAATAAATATTCTGATTGGTTGACGATTGACTGGACCAAGACCAAGATGTAAGAAAAAAATGATGAAGTTTTTGCAGTTATCCAATCACACGATGAGTCACATGATGATTCACATACTGATTACTATTTTAAGCCAATTCCTATCACGCCTACGCACCGCTGATGTGCTCAGCCTTAAACGCTTGAACTGACCGCCCGTGTTTAGAACACTTCGATCTGACAAGCCAACAAACACAACTCCTGGTTGATATGAGTAGCATGTGACTACTCATTTCAACTTATCAGTAGTCACACAAATGATTAAAGAAAATTTCATTATTATCTTTCTTTCATTTATTAATCCTCTTTGTTCTATCCAGACCAGATGAAAAATCATGGCAAGATGAAGTGAAACATTTGAAATGTCAACTGGCTGAAAGAGAATCTAAGCTTACTGATGTCCAGCTGGAAGCATTGGCTAGTGCTCATCAAGTGGACCAATTGCGTGATGAAATGGCACGTCTCTATTCAGAGCTGAAATATCTTCGAACAGATAATGAAAGGCTACAGATACTGGTATCCCACTTACAAGATAATCAAAAAGTTCTCCTCAGTAATAATAATAATAACACCATGGTAACGAATAGTCAACAACAGACTGCTATCATGTGTAATTCTTTGCCACAAGCTAAACTGTCAAGAAATATTAAACATGCTGCTGTCAATCGGTCATTGGATATTGATTGTACAGTGTTGGATAATAAATGTCGTATTACGTCATTGGATGATGACAGGCAATCAGGTGTTTCAAGGTCTGCAATCGAAGAAGGCGTGAGTAGTAGTTCAAGTGAGTATTGTTTTTATTTTATTCTTTTATGCCGTGAGTGGAACATACGGCTACAAGCTAGAGCTTTTTATGTTTCGGTAGCAGTAGTGTTGCTTTTTTATGCGGGGTGGAGTTGGAAGCCCCCCCTTGCTACGAGCTTATCAAGGTTTAGGAGTGCGTCAGCCAGGGGTCAAACACCAGACCACGCGAGACATAGTTGGCGAGCGTTCTACCGCTGAATCGCTGACGCACAATAACCTGGAAGTACTGGACAGATGTTTCGTCCTTGTCTGGGACTTTTCAGTAGTGCACACCTACAATAGGGGTTCGAACCCAGAAATTTCTGGTTACAAGGCGAGCTCGTAGACCGCTCAGCTACTGAGACTGAGTGAGTATACATAAATGATTATTTGAAATTTATCGATCGACCATATAAAGTGATTACACTAACTACCGTACACCTTGCCTTAGTAATTATAGACTAGTATTATTATTACACTGTAGACACCAAAAGGATGTGCCACACAGAATCACATAGTTTCTGCAAAGACTAATATTGCGCGTACGCTTAGTCCGAAGAATGTGGCTATCTTAAGGAGCTTACCCCCCACCACCACCACCAAAGAGCCTGTGACATGAACTCTGATCCACAAGGCAGTCAAACAGTTTCAGGACCTACATTCCCAAGATTTCCGGTGAACGAAACAAGTTCATCATCATTTGATCTCTCTTGACTATGGTTTAGAATCAGTATTTTCCAGGTCCACTATGTAGACTTGCATGTCCACCAATGCGTCTATAAGCTCCAGATAATTTCGCATCACCCCATTCACTTCTGTGAGGAGCACCCTGTCCCCGCTGCATAAAGTCAGTAAATAGAATTTACCCGGTAGGGGCTTTGGACCCGTAGCCACATGAGAACATTTCGAGAGGAAGACCTCAGTCTAACGATCCCCGTGTATGACAGGTCGTTTATAGGGGCAGTAATCATAGGGAACATTTCCAGTTCATATGGACGTAATTTTGGTCTGGATGATTTCAATGTCTTTTTAGCCAGCATCTTCAGTGCCAACTTCAAGATGAAGTAGGTGGTTATAACATTCATGAAGAATTCATCTTGATGTTAGTGCTGAAATTGCTGACTAAGAAGACAATGAAGGCTTCACAGATGCTTAATTTTGAAATACCCACCTATAGGCATATGTGAAATGCAATTCAGCGCAGTGAATCCTTATGACAAGCAAATTACCACTTAGCTGTTAGCCTACTGCATTTTTGACTCAGACCAAAACTGTCTGTGTTCGTTTCTGGTATTCAATAGTTTTTAAAACGTTATACTTTGTGGAATGAAAAGTGCTCGTTCATTAGCCTGCTTGCTAGGAGCTTCCCTCACTCATCTTCCTTATTCAAATAAGCTTAAATTAATGGACTCTGAAACTAGTTGAAACTGTAGAACTCTATATGGAAGAAACAACCAGTTGTGAACGAAGAAATATATTCCTTTTCGGCTGGCGAAGTATACGGTCTTAAGAAATACAAGCCTTGAGAAAACAAAGTTGAAGCATGCAATCGATCAAACAACTTCCTATTGTCGATATGTCGATGACACATTTGTAGTATGCAACAACGAAAGTCATGCCTCCTACCTACTCAGCCTATTCAACAAAGCACAAACAAATATTGTATTTACTATGGAACATGAAAATGACGGGAAGTTTCATTTCCTTGACATCGCCATGCAACGCCTAGAAGATGGTAATCTCCAGAGGTCAATTTACCGAAAGCCTACATGGAATGGACAATACTTACATTTTAATAGCTTTGTCCAAATAGCTATAAACGAGCACTAGTCAAGACTCTGTACTTTAGAGCGAGGAGAATATGCTCTACAGAGAAACTAGAGGAAGAATTTACGATTCTCGAAAAGGTGTTGAAAAACAACTGTTATCCTCAAAGATTCCTTAACAAATATGGAAGATATGAAGGCTCAAATATCAAACAAATCACAGTTGAAAAAAATCTGTCGTCATTCAACTAGATTTTAAAGGTGAAAACATTGCAGCAATAGTCAACAGAAGACTGAGTACGTCACTAGCCAGAGCCTATCCTGTAGCTAAGTTGGTTCCCGTCCATCAAACAACATGGTCTTTGGTGCAGTCAAAAGTTGACAGATACCCTTCTCATGTTAACTCCAACTGTGTATACAAGTTTACGTGTATCTGCGCGAGCAGTTACATTGGAAGGAGAGAAAGAAGGGCACACCTCCGATTTTCTGAACATGTGCCAAAAAGCCTACGTCTCAAGGGGACAAACTCTTGTGATAGCGTTTTGATACGGGTCATGAGGTGGAAATCCTTTAAAATTATCAACAGACAAAAGAGCTTGATTCTCCTCAAGTTTAACGAAGCAATTTCTATCAAACGCTTGAAACCAGATTTATGTATTCAGAAAAAAGAGGTTATTAGTCTTTCCTTGCCCTGGTGACTGGATGTCTTTATTCTGTCTTTCATTTGATTACGTAATCTTTGGGTTTAGCCCTCCCCCCTTTTGACGCAGTCTAATTTCGCTTATCTCTTGTTTCTATGAATTGAGTTGAACTCAGTACATTTATTAGTCACTCAGCATCTTACGCATCTCTCGTCTTTATTACGCAACTCCTTTACCATTGCATGCATACATTTAATTTGTTTAAACTTGAACTGCCAATGTAAAAAATATATAAACGCAATTTTCTGAGCATTGTCCACTAATTGTGGAACTTTCTGTCAACTAACATCATGGAAAATTTGCGAGTATGTTAGAACTTTTCTGTATATGAACCTCATAATTTATTTGGGCTGTAAGCAGCTGATGAGGAGCCAGCGAAATCAACAATGATGGTACCATCTTCTTGTTGTGCTTGCTTTATTCAAATTCATCAAGGGGAATAAATGCATGAAAATACTGGGATATATAAGAGGTACTACGTAGATAACCACGACAAAGGAATAGGCTCAAAAAATTTCTTTAGAGCAGAAAAATTAGACTGTGCTGACTAAATGTACGACAACCATATTCAATGCCATGTGTACTTTCCTATCACTTCCAGCTTGAGATAAAACCGTGTCGATATTGATGTACGACTGGCATCAGTTTGCAAAATATGCTTACCAGCTGTTGAAGATGTACTGTGGAAGGTTAAGGCAGACATCAAGGATAAAAATATCTTTAAGCTGATTGGAAGCACAGTCGTAATCCTCAGCCCTGAATATTAATGTAAGTGTAGAAATTGGGCAGTGTGTGTTGTAGAATGTATGTAATTCCATATTAGATAAGTTTAATTTCCAATATCATACAGTGATGATGCAGGAAGAAGAACTGGATGACAAGGTCTCAGGCAGAAATCACTGCTGCTCATAATCATATCAATTTAGTAACACTCTTTCCCTCCCTCTCCCCCATGTTGTTTGTCGCCACTTTTCATATCTCTGGTGTAGGCATTGCGTCATTTCGATTGTACGTATACGGTGTTGAATCGATAAACAAAGCTTCAGTGACTTTTGACTGGACACTAGTTAGTAACTAGTGTGATGTCTTTAGTCCTCTGTTTAGTGCAGACTGAATTCCATCCGTCACGTTAGCAATATGGCCACCATTATAGGTGGTTTGCCATCACGGTGCACTTTGAATCGCTAATATTAGATGGTTAGAGGCAATCGACAGGAAGTCTTGCTTGACCTAGGTTTCTTTCTAGTTGGCACTCACAAGTCACCAAGGCGTATCTGCAACCGTAAAGGAACTTATGTTCCTCCTTCTGAGATTCGAACCCGCGCTACAAATCACAATAGTTACTAACTAGTGTCCAATCAAAAGTATCCAATACAATCCTACAGAAGTTCCATCGCGAAGCCGAATAGCTCAGTGGTAACTTCTCTGTCTCATTGCAGCACTGGGTAACGCGGGTTCGAATCTCAGAAGAGGCATGAGTCCCTTTACGGATACAGTTACGCCTTGCGATTGACGAGTGCCAACTAGCACGAAATCTAAGTCGGTTGATGCTTCCTACCGATTGCCTCCAACCATATAATCCTAAAGCTTCAGTGATTAACTTCTCTCTCCAACTAACTGTATAGCTTTTTAATGCTCTCAACCCGTCCCACCCACCATATTTGTGTGGCTACATGCAAAGGAATGTAGTGCAATGGCTGAGCTTTTCTCTGGGTTATTTAACTTAGCAGGGCCAGTTATTCTAGGTCTAGCTAAATTTTTATGTCCCAATAATCTAGTTGGGCCCGACCTAATAGTTTGACGGCCTATGTAATTAACCTCACAGTCATTGCATCGTATTTGGTAAATTATATTGTCTTCCGTAGTGGGATCTATCGGGCGGGTCCTTAAGACGATAAAGTTTATCTCTGAGAGAGTTGGTTGGTTGAGAATCCTACGTAAGGCCTCTGATGTCCCTTCTTTATACGGCAGTACTACAGTGGCTTTAAATTCTATTTATTTTCGTTATTTTTCTCATTTTTATTGCCAGTCTTAGTTTTTCTACGGTTTCTCTTCCATTTCTGAATAAATTCTTTCGCGTAGTTATTCACTAGTAATGCTTCCTTTAGCTGTTTGATTTCGCTATTTAAATCTTCCTGCTTACTAGTTGGTTAGGCTCCTGTCTCGAGTGTGACACACTCTAATTATGAAGCCGTGTGATTGCTAACTGTTATGATTATGAGCGGCAATAATTCCAGCTCGAAACCTCATCCAGTTAGCAATACTGCATTATCACAAAGTGATATTTAGAAACACACTTATCTCATTTGAAACTTCAGCACAATTCCTGACAAAACGAGAAAAATTTGAGGCTAACCCAAGAAAAAGTAACGTAACATGAGAAGGATTAGGTCAAATGGGGCCAATAGCTATAAAACCTTAAGAAAGTCAGTGTCCTCTTAGTTAAATATGCTGACGATCTGACTGTATCTTTGCCTGTCAAGTGTCAAAGTGACTGCTCTAAACTAAATGGTTTTTTATCAGAAATCAGCCAGTGGTCCAAGGAAAACTGTCTTACCTTAAATCCCTCCAAATGTCAAACAGTCAATTTCACCTTTAGGCATAAATCTGACCTAAACAAACTGGTTAACACTGACGAGGCGTGCAACATAGATGGCACTGAAATAGAAACCAAGTCGGAAATTAAATATCTTGGCGTCATTCTATCTACTGATCTCTCCTGGTCGTCTCATATCTTGGCGATTGCTAAGGAAACATTCTCTCTTACCTTCTACATTCTGGAATAACCCAACCCTTACTCCTACGATTCGTTAACTCTTGTATCTTGTCTATTATTCTCTATTGTTCCCCCTTAGTTTTTCCAGGGCTACTGAAGAAAGACTATATCTTATTACGCAGGATGTTAAAGGTTGTCAGCAGGGTAAGCAATGTTCCACCTAACCAGCTTGTTAATATTCTGGTCGACAGGCACATGGACTCATGTGAAAAATGGGCTACATCCATTCTATCTAACTCACACCACCCTCTTCATTCACAACTCTCCCCTTGTATCTCATCAGGCAGGACCAGAAGCCTATATAGAAAACTATATGCTCCCACTAGCAAGTACATAAGCTCAACCATACCCTACTTAGCTCGTGTTCTGTGTGGTAAAGAAAGCATTAGGCGGGACACCTATAATTCATTAAATAGTCAATAGAACAACTGGATCTCGTCTTTCCAACTCATATCATTTATAGGTACAGTATCTACTGCCAGTATATACTTATCTAAGCACCTTCAAACATTCTGTTCATTTTTGGCTTTGCTGTTGCCGATATGCTAATATGTTGTTGTCAAAATTAACTGTGACTACCCATAATCTATGTAGAATTTTATTTATTGTTAATGTACAAACTGGATGCAACACTGTAGTGAAATGCTGAGAATTCCATTCTGTATCACAAGTACTGTTTTGGAATAAAGCAATTTATTATTATTAATAACAAGTAAAATATAATAATGTATACATATATAAGTAAATGAAAAAGAATAACTTATATTGTTTTGGTGAATTTTGTTTTCAATCCTTTTAGATCTATTCATTGGACTTCCTGAAATGACTAACAATCCAGAATCCTTAATTGCTCTTGTAAGCTTGGCTTTAAACAATTCTGAAGATGTTGGCCACAAAAATAATGAATACTGTATCTCTGATATCAAAGTTAATTCAACATTTAATATTGGTATCATTGAATTAAGTAAATTACAAACATGGAAATCATTAAATCATTTACTTATCAATCTATTTGAATGTTATGCGTTTTATTTAAATTTAAATTGTCCGCGCGACATACAAATTAATGAATTAAAACAATATTGTATGCATGTTAATGCTTTGAATTGTACATGGAAATTTCAATTTGATAAGGATACAACAAGTCAATCAGCTCAGTTAAATGATAATAATTGTCCATTTGAAAACCCTCAAAAATTAAATGAATTACTTCAAAGTCATTCAAATAATTATCAAACAATTGTTCAATTATCTATTGAACAATTCCCTGTGGAGCGAAAATTAAATTCGAATGAGGCAGGCGTTTATCATGATGATATTAATGAGAATTTATTGAGCACATCGAAGAATTTCAATAATTTCATTATGAAAACTTTATTAAATCGAGATATTTTATATTTTTATTTAAAATTATTGCTTACATATCATTTTATAATATTCTATGGTACTGATGAAATATTTATGAAAACCATCAGTCAATCAATATGTGATTATATTTGTACTACAGTAAGGTAAGTTTATGTATACCTGGGCGTAGAATTATGAGTGTTATCAATATTATATTGTGAGTAAAGGATAGATGTTTAGGGAGAGGACAGTGAAACCCGCCCACTGACGAAAACTACACCCCCCTATGGTACCCAGTTAGATTTACTCTTGAGTTTCTGCTCACTGAGGTGAAGTGCTTCATTCTATTTATACTTTTAAAGATTGGCTGGCACAAAATTACTTCACACTATCGAACTTCCCATGTAGTTAATCCCTTAATACTTTGAATGAAACTTCTTATTAGTATTCTCACAGGTTTCCAGTGGAACAGAGGTCCTCAACAGAACATCATCATTTCATCCTGCAATCGTTTTTAGCTGGTTCTACGATTACCTATGTACAACTCGTCGTTTTGCTTTAGGACGCATGATTTCACCAAAAGGTCTCTTCAGCATGTGTCCGACCCATGTGTATTGCCATCAGCATATTTGTTGGACAATAGCTTCTTGATTGGTTCGTTTAGTTGAAGGGAGGACCTTGAGGCTCTCCTGCCACTGGGAACTCAATTAGGATTTGTGTTGAGTTTCAAGTTCCCAAGTTGAAGTGGTGGGCCTCTACCCAAGCAAGTTTTACCTTAGATCCCCCAACCAAAGCCAAGAAATCGTAGTCACTACACCGAATGAGGCAGTGGTCTTGAATTTGTTTTGAATTACATTTTGACTGATCCCTATTAGAGTGAAATGGGGGGATGCGATCCCTCACTGAGAATGTAACCACTTTCAGTTGATCAGTTGGAAATAGAACACAGAAGTAGAGGGTCCTGGATTCCACTGCTGGTGGCCCCAATCAACCAGATATAGTTTGGTAGACTTTTCGATTTCATCCTAGACGCCAGAATTAAAAGAACTTAGCGCTGACAATGACCCACCGTCAACATTCCCATTCTGACCTACAGAAGTGTCTCAAAACACTTATTAAATAATAATTTCTTCTGATACGTTTAAGGACGCACACTTTACCTTGTTTGAGGTTCGTCAGTTACCCAGTGACAGATGGTGTTCCCAAGGAGACTTACATCCCACACCTTAAGCCAAAATAAGACCTACCAACCGGAAAGTGTAAGGATTAATGAATCTTCGCTATACCCAGTAATGGCAGAAGTTACAAGTGATGGGCAAACAGTGTCATGGTTAAGAAGTGACCAACACAAACTCATACTACTTACTAGTGATAAGTAGTATAAATTAAACACGAAAGAAAGAATAGCAAAGGATAGGTAGGAAAGGAATTAACAATCACAAACTGACATTACTTGGAGATAGACTGAAAGCCAAATAGTAGTAAACAGATATTGGATCTACATTTGGGACACTTCAGCATTAGGCAGCCATGAACCCACAAACTTCACGTCAAGAAGTAAGCTCGTTGACATTCAACTACTGATTAGGATCCAGTGGTTCTATGGTCGATGAACTCACCTGAACACTGGGAAGTCATAAGTACGAACGCTATTGTACGCATGGCTTCATACTGTTGAAGAAGCCCAGAGTAGGATGAAATAGTAATTGAGTATCCTCTGATTATCAGTGCTTCTCTAAATGATGTTAGACAGTGATCAAACTTGCAAAATGCCACACTTGAAAATTCCCCATTAACTGTTTGCGTTTTTATTCATTTTTGTCTTAAACAAAGTAGTACATCAGTGAAAGTTTGCCGCTTCAATTTTTCTGATGGACTGCACACAGTGGATCAGTTAATCGATTGTATAACTCAATATATCAATGATTCAAACCAATTGTCAATTGATAACACGAATGAACAGTCATCTAGCTGGTGGTTGATTGTATTCATTGAATCAATGCATCAAATTTCTCAAGAGCAGTTATATCAGATTATTAACTGTTTTAAAGCTGTGCATTCCAAGCATTCAGAAGAAGATACGACTAAGAGGTGGTAAGTAAAACACCTACTTTCTTGTTGGTTTTGTTTTGTTATTCCCACTGACTATGATTTTGACCTTGGCGCCAGTTTTTTCAGTTTTCAGCCCCCAAAGACCCTGATAGCAATCTTCAGGGCAAAGTTGAACATTAGGCACTCAGCGGACGCAAACGCATCAGTGACTGCGGGAAGAACCATAGCTCTGAAACGCAAATTTTAATAACTCAAAACTATAGCAACCCAAAACGAAACTGCCCATTGAACGGATGTAATGACCTTGAGCGGCCAATCAGACGAGTGCGTAGTGCATAGGCGGAATTATGGATTCCGGATACAGAATTAAGTAGCAGGTATCTAGTATTTAAGTACCGTTTGGATAACAGCCTCGTAGGAAGGGAGAAGACAAGTAGTTGCGACGGAGGAGTAATGCATTTACAGAGATACACACAGCTTTTATCGATGGGTTTGTGTCCTGATGCCCAGACTGCTGTAGCAGGAAGTCAATTGGAGAAGGTATGTCGTCCCTGGCAACTCTAAAGAATAGGAGCCCAAACCGAAACGACCTACGAACTCACAAACGACCTTGAGAAACCAATCAACTGACTGTGTTCTTTCTAGAAGTAATTATGGATGCTCTACACGTTTTGCGATGTAAATTCGCTCCGGATCTTGTTTTTGATTACTGTTTGGATAGGGGACTGATTACAAGGTCAAAAATTTGTCAGTGCGGAGGTGATATGCGCATACGAAAATACACAAAGTCCATTGATGGGTTTGTGTACAGGTGTAATGAGTGCCGGAGGAGAAAATCAGTTCGAGAGGGTATGTCGTTCTATTTTAGTTTGCAGATTCCTTAGGCAATTTCTTCTCAAAGTCTAAATTACCCTTAACAAAAATTTTAATGATCTGTAATTTCTGGATACTGAACAGACCAGTTACAGCAGCGGCTTATGAAACGGAAAATTCATAAGTGTCTGCAATGCAATGGTACCAATACTGCAGAGACGTATCGTCCTGGAAAATGAACAGCCTAACTCAAGTTCTTGGAGGAGTTGGCGTAATCGTTCAAATTGATGAGACCGTATTAATAAAAAAGAAATATAATCGCGGCAGATTACGAGCGAACCAACAATGGATATTGGGTATCTATGACACCACCCTCCGAAAAGGGATATATCGAGGCAGGTGTATTATTGCCGATTATGCAGCGCTTAGTGCTGCCTGGGACCACTATTAACACAGACGAATGGAGCAGTTACGGTCAATTGTCGAATCTCGGGTATATTCATCATGTAGTCAACCACACAAATGGTTTTCGCAATCTTTTGGATGGAACTCATACTAATTCAATCGAAAGTTTCTGGCGTCACCTAAAAACCGGATTAGATTGGTGAATGGATCTAGAAATGCAATTATATACAGTTATCTTGATGAGTTTATGTAAAGAACTTGGTTTAACATCAGTATGAAGACACCCCTATGAGAAATTGGGAGCTTTTTTTGCAACATATACGAGAACGTTATCCATTGTAACTATTTTACTTTTATATAAACTATTTTTTACAATTATGCACCTTTTTTGAGCCTTCTGATTAGTCGAATTTGTCCTTGACAAGGTCATTTGTGCGTCCGTAGGTCGTTTCGGTTTGGGCTCCTATTCTTTAGAGTTGTCCCGTCCCTTTCTAAGGTTCAAGGGTGCTGTAGATTAGTGAATTGGTCAAGAAACAGCATGATATGCAGTTATCTGGGTGAATTTACGTGAAGAAATAGGTTTCAACTATCACTTGGGATTCCAATAAGGAATTAGGAGGTTTTCTTGGGACACAAACAAGGAAGTTACTGGTATAACTATTTTTCAACACTAACTTTGATGTCAATAAAAGAGCTTTTACATAACGCTTCTACGACAATTAGAAATATCATCGTGGTTGATAACAGGCAACCAGCTTGTCTTTCGTTTTCACTTCAATGGCTTCAATGAGTTTCCCACTGTGATCGATTAGTAAGTACTAATAAGTGCTACTGCTGGTACTATTAATATTTTTATTACTACTAATATTACTCATTCATTCATCTATACATGAACTTTCTCATTTTAGTCGGATTTATCTAATCGGACTATGGATGGAAACAACATCACTTCCAATTTCCCTTGAAAATCCTTCAGAATCATCATCATCACCGCCGTCGACATCAGTGCACACAATCCCCTATCCAGACAGTTTCCATTTCTACACTCCTGTACAGTGTTTAGACAAAACAGTCTGTTGGATTAAGTCAGAGCATTCGTTGAGTCGTTTACGCATGATACGTTATTTGAAAAAGCATCTTGTACATTCATTCGTAGAGAAATTTCAATGCCAACAATATATGCCAACATTATCAAATCCCATGGTGCTTTTTTCTCAAGATCATTTGGAAATATTTTTATATCAAATCCAGTGCTTTGAAGATCTTATCCAATGGATTGAACAGGTGAGTCTTAGCAGAAGAAACAACGGCTCAATTGGTTCTCCTTTTTTTCTTCCATGTTAGTATGTAGGTTGAATGTAAATAAGAGTGTAGAGTCTACCAAGTTGAGTGTCAGGTCAAATACTCACCAAAGACATAGGCTGGTGATGGCGCTATACACCAAAAATTAATGAGAGTTAAAAATCATGAACTAGCCATTGGAAGGCTGAGTGATTGTAACGATACGAAATATCAAAATAAAAATCCGAGTTAATGAAAGAATATTGATGAAAACAAAACACGTAGTTCAACGAAGAGTCTCTTTTCGGAGGCGAATTCGTTTTCCTAGCTGTACAATTGCAAATATATATGCATGGGTTATTTTGTATGTATGTGTACATTAAGTTTGTCTAACAAAAATACAATTAGTTATGGTTATTTTAACTAAAGGTGGGGTGGGTGGGTTAGAATTAGTAAGTTTTGGGTGGAGTTACGTAATACGAAAATGGTTAAGAAAATTGGATGTTAATGAAACTAGTGTAGTAACAAAGGTGATGAGTTGTCAGAGTCACTTATTAAAAAAGAGTTACGCAATAACATGAATAGTTTGATGATTGAGTTGTACTCAGGATACACAAAGGAACGAAGTAGAGAATACGAAATTACGTAAGAGTTTTAAATGAATACAAGAACAGTAAAGCTATTAAAGAAGTGGTTGAGTAATTCTCTTTTGTATGCACAGCTCTGGTATTTCTATGTGGATGGCCAGAGATTCAGCGATTCAAGGAAGACGAAACTGTATTGCCTTTGGTAGGTTATTCGTGACTCTGTAAATTACTTTGAAGCAGGAGGCTTTTGTTGAGACGGAATTATCATTGTTAACCAGGTGTTCAATTATCGCACTCCGTGTATTACTACTATAGTAGGGCCTCCTTCAAAGTAATGATAACACCAACAATAAGGAATCTAAATCATCAGTAGTAATTCCATACAAAGAAGGAACCTCGGGAACCTCACAACGCAGAATTCTTAACAAGGAAGGAATAAAAATGGCATTCAAACCCACAAACTCAATTAGAAACAAGCTTTGTCGGTTAAATGGTGGATCCTGTAGAGCCTTTAAAACAAAACAGTTTAGTTTATCTGATATTCTGTCTGCAGTGATTGTCAGGTCAAATACATTGGTTAAAGTAGTAGAACAGGGGCAGTCAGACTAGCCGACCATAAAAACCTAGCAAAATCTAGATTGGTTGATCCAAATAAGATAAGAAATCTAGAGAACAGTTCAGCTATAGCACTCACTACATGCAATTACACACAATAGTCTGTATGGGATAAGATGACAGTTTTAAAATCTAATGTCACAGGGTGGAGGGAGAGATTGATAATGAAAGCTTTGTTTATCGAATCAACTGCAAACCAACAGGTGTAATAGGAATGATTCAACACCTGTCCATTCGGATATCTGGAAAATTCTACTACCCTACGACGACAAATAGGAGAGGACAAAGAAAACTATAAAACTCAAGTTTCAAAGTCGTGTGATCATAATTGATATGATTATGAACAATAAATTTTGTTCGAAACGTCATCCACTAAACAACACTATTTAACTCACTATGTGATATATCCAATAAACAAACTAATATGGAATTACAACTAGTTATGGTTATTTTAAGTAAACAGGTGAGAATTAGTAACTTTTGGGTGGGGTTACGTAATACAAAAGGCGTTCAGAGGAATTGAATGTTGATATAAGTGGGTAGTAGCAAAAGTGATGAATTGTCACAAGCAGTTGTTAAAAAGAAGTTATGTATCAATAGTTTGATGATTGAGTTGTACTCAGGATACACATAAAATCAAAGTAGAGAGTATTAAATTACATAACAGCTGTTTGTGAAAAATTATCACCTCTGTTACTACACTAGTTTAATTAACACCCAATTTTCCTGAGCATTTTTGTATTACGTAACTCCACCCAAAACTTACTAATTCTAAACCCCATCCCACCTTTAGTTAAAATAAGCATAACCAATTGTATCTTTGTTTGACAAACTTAATGTACACATACATACAAAATAGCCATATATATTTGCAATTGTACAGCTAGGAAAACGAATTCGCCGCCGACAAGAGACTATTCGTTGAACTACGTATTTTTGTTTTGGTCAGGAGTGAGGATGGCGTTCCCGCCGATGACACTGGTTTGTGGTCACGCTAAAAATCACGAATTCGTAAAAGCTAGAATTCATTAGCCATTGAATTGGTTCCGAAGTGGTTGAATGGAATGCGAGTTTCCATTGTAACCGGAAGGTCCTGGGTTCGAACCCCAGTGGGTGCATACTGCCTAATAGTTCCAAACTTGGCTTACGGAACAGATGTCCAGCACTCTTTAGGTTTTAATGGTTTTCTAACTGATATCAATCAGTGGTTTAACTGAAACAAATAGGATTCCTACAAACTGACTTTTGAAAACTTATTGTTACTATAATTTGATCCATAAACTCACCGTCATTGCTTAATGTTTTTTGTTTATAAATCTATGTAAATTAGAGTAAAGCCAGCAGAAAATCTAATTGAAAACAACAATACTGTTCGCTTATATGTGTCTTGTTATAAGAAAAGGACTAACTAAGTTTCTTAGATTGTCCAAAAGACGGGAATTTCCCGTCCACAAAGTGACAGCTTGCCTGAGGATTAAAAACCACCCACTAGGTGTACATATGAATTCGTACTATGAGGACTGAGTATCAGACATTGAAAATTAAGGCATTGGCTTGCAATGATTTGATTAATTTGAGGTTTAGTCACAAATTGACTTCATTTAGGGAACCACTTAGAGAAAATTACGGATTACTCGACAACCTGTTCTCCCCAGTTTGAGACTATACCTTAGTTACGCAAACTGGATATTCAGGCCACGAAGGAAGGCCATTAACCATTCAACTCTTGAGACAGAGTTCAATGGCGTATTTGTGCCAACCTTTGAGGATTAGCGATATATGATACCGCTGCCACCAAGCAGTGTCATTGGTGAGTACCTGTCCTCACGACCCCACTTACTTGGTAGACCCCAGTGGTCACGACTTCTCAAGAGAACTTTAGGTAACTTCAACCTGTAGTTAATGGTTCTCTAACTGGAATCGGTTCGTGACGAAAAGTCAAATATATTAATCATTGTGTTTTTACCGAAGTCAATCTAGTTGAATACTATTCAGTACTACAAGAATGACTTCTATCCAAACAACAGCTGGAAAGTTCAATTTAATACACTCATATCCTTCTTTTCTTCTGCTCTACTCTATCCATGAATCAGTATTTATTTTCTCAGCTGAGGAGTTCATACATCTCTGCTTCATTAAATACAGGACTTTTTCGACAGGATGAACTCGAGACCCTACAAGGGATGGAAGTTAGGACCTTCAGTTTGCTAAGGAAAACCGTTGACCATTCAACTCTCTGCACGGAATTTACTGGCCCTACTATCCTCAACCCCATGACGTGGTGGACCCCGACAGCCATGACGTCCGTGAAGGTTCCATTGGTCTTGTAGACAGTGTTTACTTCACATTATCTAGGGAAGAGAAAATGAAGACAATGGTTGGGGTCGCGCTAAATCACGAAATGGTAGAAGTTAGAATTCATGAGCCATTGAATCGGGTCCCAGTGGCTGAATGGTATACGAGCTTGCCTTGTAACCGGAAGGTTCTGGGTTCGAACCCTGGCAGTGGGTGCGTACTGCCGATGACTCCCAAACTAGGATGAAACAGCAGCTGTCCAGTACTCCCTGGTTTTCAATGGTTCTCTAACTGATATCAGTCCGTGATCAACTCGTAAAACATAACTAACCCTTACAAACCAAACTTTAGAAGACTTTGTGATTAAACCAACCAGCTGAGTGAACATTATAACAGCAAAAGTATCAACCTGAGCCCCCTTAATTTCCCTTCATTATATCAAAATACATTATTCCAAGTGTTGTTTCGCTTTACATTGTGAAATGGTTGAAGATAACATTGATGCGTCATTCGATACCTTTCCAGTGACTGAATGGTCAACGAGCTTGTCATGTAACCTGAAGGTTCTGGGTCCCATCTACGGTGGCCAAAGTAGGCTCATGGGCTCGCCCTTCTGAAGAGTCCGAAATTAGGACGAAACAGCTATCCAGTACTTCTTGACTTCCAATGGTTATCCAACTGAAGTCAATTCGAGATCGATCTTGAATACACTGTTTCATATGAGATGTCGTATAGACAAAGCCTCCAAGATATACAGTAGGATGGATGAACACGTTTCAGATGTGAGACTGGAGTCAGGCCAGGCGACTTTCCACATTCCACAAAACCCAAAAAGTTCAATATCCAGATTTCATGCATCCGTTTTGTTTTATAAATCAGTAATTTGAAGTTATTTTTTTTACTGATATGCAATCCTACTCTCTCCTTTACCAGGTCTGTATTCGTGTCGATCAGTTTCTAAACGATGTACAAAACTCTAATGAAAATTCAACCACCGGTCATCACCATCAACATTTCCTCAATCCATCAATATTTCTAAACCTTCCTTTCAATGACCCCGTCAACTGTGAATCTTGGTTTACCGATATATGGAACAAGGAGATAGTTGAATTAGTTCAGAAGATCCTTTCACCCTTGAAAAAAAGCAGTCATAACTCTTCAAACTATGCAAGTCTTTCCGATCCAACCGAATGGGTTCTATCCACATGGCCATGGCATAAAATTGATGCTGCGAAACTTTCAAGTGAAGTAGATCGTCTAGGCAGGCAGTCTAAATCACTGATACGATTTACAGAATTCTATCAAACTTGAGATTAAACAGCCTTTTTTAAACAGAATTATTGACTATTCATTGCTAGACTACTAACAAGTAGTAGTGTGAAAATTGTCGAGATTAATGTAGACAACCGAACAGAGGTCTAACTCCATTCAGACGGATGGACTGCCAGACACACGCACGCACACACACACAGAGGTTCGAGTGATCTATTCTAATGAGCTTTCTATTCTTCGCCGACTGTTTACGACAATCAAGTTGTATAATTTATATTTGTCTGTAAATATGTGTATATTAGAATTAATTTTTACAAAAATTATGACCAGAAAAAACTCCTACTCCCCACATTTTATTCAACGAGAATTACACAATAAAAGAACGTATAAATTTTTCTGTCTATATTAGAGAAATCATATTTGTATTGATATTAACTGGCCTGAACAACTGGAGAAGAGTCGGAGAGAGAAAACAGGAAAGAGATTGGAAATCTCTAGGTGGTTTGATTGCTTGATTGTTTACCCCGCCGTTTTTTCCCATGCATCATGTGTGTCAATATGCAGAAATAAAACAAATTTGTATGAATGTTTTGCTTCTTCTTTTCTGATTGGATAATTAAAGCTTATTCTCAGACAAATTGGAAGATTTTGATTGGACACTAGTCAGTAACTAGTGTGATGTTTATAGTCCTTGGTGTTGGTGCAGTCAAGTTTGCAATATGGTCACCATCGTAGGTAGCTTGCCATCACAGTGAACACTGATTTGAAGATATTAGATGGTTGGAATAGCTCAGTGGTAACGTCTCTGACGTCTCTGCAGCAGTGGGTGACCAGGGTTCGAATCTCAGAAGGGAAATGAGTTCCTTCAAGGCGGTCGCAGATGTGCCTTGCTGACTTGTGAGTGCCAACTAGCCCAAAACCTAGGTCAGTCAAGTCTTCCTGCGGCCGATTACATCCAACCATCTAGTATCATCAAATTGGAAGATTCATGAGGTATATAATATGATCTAGTCGGATAGTAGCCTGTTCCAGCGGTTGTTTCTGCTTAGTGTGGGGTTGAATCAGCGTGTGTTGTAACTTAAAGCTGATAGAGATTTCATCTTCGAATAGTCTATCACTTTACACAACACAACAGGTTTCCTGCTGCCTAATGACGAAGTCAAATGGTGTCCTTTACGAATCCCTAAAGTAATCATCCTTCTTCGATTTCTTCAGATCATTTAGACAATGACTGATTCTGATAGGAACAAAAATACTTTCAGAGAAAAGCTTGATTGATTGGTTACAGGATTTCATCATGAGCTGATATCAGTTAGAGAACCATTGGAAAACCTGCGGGGAGTACTGGACAGCTGTTTCGTCCTAGTCTGGGACTGTTCATCGGCACGTACCCACCATCGGAGTTCAAACCCAAGACCTTCTGGTTACGAGGCGAGCTCGTAGACCATTAAGCTACAAATACTCGTCGAAAACATTGGCTAGCGGTCGCGCTTTGTCATGAATTGGCAGAAGTTAGAATTCATGGGCCATCGGATCGGATACCAGTAACCTAACGCGATACGAGCTTACCTTGAAACCGGAGGGTCCTAGGTTCGAACTCCCATCTGGTGCATACTTCCGAAGAGTTTCAAACTAAGACGAAATAGCTGTCCAGTACTTCCAGCTGGTTTTCCAATGGTTCTCTAACCGATGTCAGATCATAATGAAATCCTGTAACTAATCAATCAAATCCCTACAAACCAATCCTTGAAAAGTCTGATTGATTTAGAGAACTCAGACAGTCCTATTAATTCTGTTCATCAAATACATGGAGTGAAATGGATACTCCATGGCTAATTGTGTTTGTGGCATATAGTTCACATTCGTCAAATGTAAGACGATGTTAACATTAACTAGTCTGCACCGAATCTGTAGGTTAATTTATGGTTGGGCGTGTTGAGCATTCGACTTAATTTAGTGATTTCGCTGGCTTTGTTTTTTGATCAGCTCCAAATTCGGTATTTTTAAACTTGTAGTTTGGTGAGAGCTGTCTACTAGCCAAATCGGTAGACAGTAATATACGTCAATATTTACGTTCCCAAGATTTGTCGTGAGAAAATATGAACAAAGATTGATTCAAAACCGACCACAGCAGACTTTGTGTAGGCGGATACAATTTACATATAGATGATCTGACATTCAAGAAACAGTCACAAAGAGATGAAAGATTAACTTTAAGTGAGAAACAACCAATCAGAAGACTGTGTTTGTTTGCTTAACTAAACTATAATAACGTACATGAAAATATATAAATATGCTTTGATTTCCTTAATAAACGATCTGTTGCCTGGCCCTTGTCTTCTGTTGTTACATTTGGTGTCGCTGCCTACCGACAAATGGAAAGCCTATGCCCTGCAGTTTTTGATGGAGACATATGGATCTTCGGGCAGGACTTCGAGGCTTCTTCGCAGTTGAGTGGCGTTCAAGATCTGTCAGCGATGAGGCTACTACTTGGAACGCTGCTGGGAGGTCGGGAGAAAGCAGCATATGAAAGTGTATGGCGAAATACCTACAAATGTGCGACAGGGTCAGGCAAACAGTTTCCAAAGTGGGAAGGACCACATATGGTCACATTGAGATGGGGTTACGCTGACACAATCGCAATGGTAAACACAGAGAAACAAGTGAACATCCGCAAGCACCGAAATTCCAGACAGCAAGACAAAAGAGCAAAGCCCGAAGAACCAAGAAGAACAAGCCGACTTCAGTACAAACTATTTGACGGGGGGACGAGTGTGGTGAGAGCTGTCTACTAGCCAAATTGGTAGACAGTAGCATTTTTAGCGCAGTCACGTTGAAATCATCAAGGGGAGCGAATGAAAGCTTTCAGAATAGATGTATTTGTTGAAGTAAAAGGGAGTGCTTTAAGCAATTAGATAAAAACAAATTCATCTCAGCCTAGGTGACATACATGGCAGTGTAAGTAAAACCAGTCGATATCAGTGAAATTCCCGCTGACATATACCATAGATCCAGTCGGTCTTGGTATGCACCTGCGTAGCCTTAACAGTTGAAAAGCCGCGAACTTATGATCACTTTCCAGAAATTCACCACGAGTGTGTGTAGTATACCATACTAGTGTTTCAAGGGGGTTCACTAAAGGCCATCCATGAGACCCTAGGCATATTGAGGTCGCTACCCACTATTGTACAGGTGTTCTATGATAAAACATGGGGAAATATTCCATTCAAATGCTCATCCGTGGCTAGTTCGGTATTCAGTAGTCTATCCGGACAAACTGCTGTGATTGGACCATAGTTTAAAATTTTAATACTTACAAAGGCGACATCACCTAAGATGCCACAGCTATTTGGGAAGACTACCGAGGATGTTAAATCAGAAGGGACAGAGATAATTCGGCTCCCAATTTTATATGCACTGCAGTCATTGTGATTACTGTAGAAGTGTATGGCGGTACACAATTTCCCACAATTATCAACCTCTAGAGGCCTCTATAGCACAGTATTCTATGGTCACTCCGACGTAGTAAGTAATTGAGGAATTCAGAAGGATAGAAAGAAACTGTTATTATTATTGTTTCCTTTAGTTTCTAGAGGAACATAGGGCCTCAGCCGTGCGTCTCCATTGCGTTAGGTTCTCCGCCAACGTTTTCATCTGGCTCCACGTATGCCCACATGCTTTCATCTCCTCTTCACCTTCACACTGACGACCAACTAGCCCCTTCCCGTTCGTGTTCCACTCGAGGGCCTGTTTTGTGATGTCACTTGATGGTTTTCCTCAGAGTTTGGCCAATCAACCTCCATTTCTTCCTGCATATTTGTTGCACATTTGGTTCCTGGTTGATTCGCTCCCAGAGATCTCTGTTGCTGATCTTTTCTGGCCATCTGATCTTGAGTGATATTGAGCGAAGACAGCTAGCTGTTGATGAAGGTGTGTGGTGTGTGCCCTTCGTGACATGGCGCCAAGTCTCTGATCCATATAGTAAGTAGCACTGACTTCACATTGGAGATGAAGATGCGGATCTTATTTTTCATGCTGAGTGCTGTTGATCTCCACACAGACTTGAGAGCAACGGAAGCTTGCTTTGCTTTCCTAATCCTCGTGCTTTGATATCCTCATCACTTCCGTCCGCCTGTAGTTGAGACGATGCTTCCCAGGTAGGTAAAAGAGGTTGTTTCTTTCAGGTTCCTCCCATTTATGCTGGTTGTTGTCTGTTGTTGTTGCTGCTGTTGCTGTTGGCCAAGAATCTTCATGACGTAGCTCTGTTTTCTATATGCCAACCTGAAGGAAGTCCTATCTTTGATGATTATTCTACCGCCAATTTGTTGCTTTTCACTTGCTTATCTTGCTGGAGCGCAAATCGCATATATCTGAATTTTACTCGGCTAATGCAATGAAAACTACTCAGACTACAGTTAGCACACAGAAAATTCCGTTTTACGACTTCATCCGGTGAAGACCTTAACATGGATCACTATAGATTCATAACGAAATCATCAGCACACAAATTTAAATCCTTTTTTAAGCTATAGCTACGACACCGTATATTAAAAGCATCTACCCGGTTAAAAAACAAATTAAACTTACGATTACACTTTCAAGAGATGAGACTGTTGCCGTCTATGCGAAATACGAATGTAAATCAAAACATCCCACTGTTTTTTTTACCAATTTGAATGTACGTGTGGACACACATACATAGGGAGCACTTACTCATCGATCTCTGAAAGTAAGGGCTTCAGAGAATATTCCTAACTGGCTGCAGAAGCAAATAGAATCTTCAGAACCCATTAATGGTGAGAATAGACACCGACCTAGCTCCTCTATTGCGAAACATATCATCGATGGGATAGGAGATAAAATTGACGTTTACACATCTTTTAAACATATCTATAAAAACGTGTTTGGGGCGTATTCTAAAGCTTGTGGAAGCCCTAGCAATTAGAAAGTGTAAACCACCTTTATGTGGTCGAAGCAGCAATTCGTCATCACAGTAAACCACCTTCATTGGTAAACTTTGTTTTGATACTAGCCAGGGT